ATAGAAACATGTTGAAATAAATATATGATTTTTCCGGACGTTATATGTTTTCTTGAATCATTTTGTATCCCAGATTACTTGTAATCGTTTGCCAGTTTGTTTGTTTTTATAATAGCGATCCATTTCACCCCAAGCAAGGCAAAAAAAAAAAAAAATCACTAAGACGCAAAAAGTTTCTGGGTGTTAGAGAATATGGGAAAAAAAGGAAGCACTGTTAAGAGAGGAAAATAAAATAACAGAATATAAGAAAACAGAAGATAAAGATTAGCATCTCATTTAAATTTTTGAAGATCAAAGTTGATTGGAAAAGAAGAAGCCGGGAGAGAGTTTCATAAGCGAGAAATGAGAGAGAAGAAACTGTTAACATAGAACTTACGGTTACATCTCGCGATTTCATCCTCGCAGCTTATCATTTTGCTTCAATTCATAAAGTCTACGTACCAAAGAGGAAAGTTCACGTGAACAGTTAGGAAAATATATAAAAGAAGAGGCATAATGAAACTAAATTATGGAACTAGAGTTAAAAACGTTTAATCAATAGAAGTATCTGGAAAAAATTCCCGATATTTTGTAATTATACAAAAAAGGTAAAACCTTGTTCATCCAATGAAAGGGAGATACATGCACATAATATTGAGTGTTTTGTTATTTCGCCTAAAAACTAAAATTAAGCAAATGTTTTTGTTTAGTGAAGGGGTTGGCAACTTTTTCTGCGTCATCACCTACTTTTATATTGAAAATCTTTCCATGGCCCATCTCTATAGTTAATATTCAAAAGCATACAGTAATAGGTAAATTGTTTTGACGGGCACTTTTTCACCCATGATAAACTCAAGATGGCCAATGTGATAGTAAAAACAATTTTATATTAAATAAGAATTGTCCTGAGGTAAGTTAATTTTACTGTCAAGGTTGTTCTTTGTCAACCCTTATCTGATTTATATATATATATAAAAAGTTATTTCGTCTGAAGATCTATTTGAATGTTAATGAACCTTATTAAAACTATAGAAAATACCCAAATTATTTTTTGTTTGCGAGGATATCTATATCTTTTCTAGGAATGTGACCGAGTTATTTCTATTTAGTCTCTTGTATCTTTTTGTTTGTTCGTTTTTAATACAGTTTTTTTTGTATATATTCTTTGAATATTATTTCGTGTAGCATATGTTGAAATAGCTTTTTAATACTGAAAATTCAATATCGCCCACATAAACTTTCAATCGCCCACCATTTTCTGCTCAGTTGGTCAGCGCCCAACCAACAACTGAAATCGCCCACTGGTGGGCGATATCGCCCAGGTTGGAAAACCCAGGCTTAGTTAGCAAGAGGTTCTCCATTCATATTCATTTTCGCCAACAAAACTTTGTACCACACTCATTCCAAGCCAGGAGCTATACACAGTGAAACATTTACTAACAAGTTGCATAGATCTTGAGCAAATACGATTGAGATACTGTGAAGAAAACAATCTGAAACACATCTTCAACAAAAATGACCCAAATGACCTTTTAGAATTGCTAAAAGCAACAAAATTCATTATTTACATTATTCGGACTATTGTCCTCATCTTTGTCGCCATATTTATCACAACGTTTAGGGTATTGAACTCACACTCTTTGGGTCTTATCACTGGATCTAACCAACGCCTTTGTCCACTGTGCCATGTGTCCTTGAGGACACATGGCACGTGGAACTAGAACAGTCTACCCCAGTGAGCGAAATAAAGGGTTCAGTTCGACATTCCAACCACCTGAAGAAGGCCGGAGCATACAACGGACGAAACGTTGTGATAAATATGGCGACAAAGATGAGGACAATAGTCCGAATAATGTAAATAATGTGCATAATACCTCATCTCAGAAATATAGACAGACTCTAGCAACAAAATTATATAACAAAATATAGTCGGCAAAGAAGATAGCCTATAATCATCATGAACTAAATCACAACACCTCTATCTATATCTCGAAGACAATAAACTCACAAAAGATCAACAAGCAGTAAACAAAAAACCAAACAAATTCTTCAGCATTAAATAACCCAAAAGGGTTGATATGCTGGTAAAACAAACAACTAAACTAAACTAAACCACTCTGTTAAGGTCTTTCTTTTAAGTCTATGAAAAACATGACTCCGGTTTTGTTGTTGTTGAAACTATTTTTTGCACAGAACTCGGAGATGGAATTTCTATTCGGCGATACCTGATCCCATTGCCAAGTCCAGTCCGTTCTTCAGCAATTATTTTTTTCTGCTTAGTTTTTTTAATCTATTTAGGGTGGCTTTCAATATCACCTTCCTTGCATAGCTGATAAGACCAATAGTCCTGTAGCTCTGATATTGTTGGAGATTGTCCTTTCTGGAAAGTTTAATAATCATTGACTAAACATCTCTAAAATATGGATATTTTTATCTATTATACAAATTCACACAATACAGATTAGAAATAGTTTTAAGATAACAATCACTTTAAAAAGCAGTTACAACAATGAAAAATACCTGTAAAAATTTCAGTTTTCCTATTTCAATTTCTGATGAATCTTAATTCTATCGTTAATTTCCTAAAACCAAACATATATCTCTTCATCCATTTTTCGGACAAGAGACATGTAAGGTATTATAAGATTTTCCTCGCAATTAAACAGGAATAGTATATAGTTTATCTGGGGTAACAGTAGGATTAACGTACGCGCTATCTAAGGATCAAAGAAACAATCAGAATGTTCATATTCCAGTGTTAACCAGTGTGCTATCAAATTTTAACCATTTAATCCCTGGCTACCACTTTACCGTTGATAGAGAAAAATGACGTAATGCTCAGCCACCGGTTGAACAGTGGTAGAGAAAAATGACGTAATGCTCAGCCACCGGTTGAACAGTGGTAGAGAAAAATGACGTAATGCTCAGCCACCGGTTGAACAGTGGTAGAGAAAAATGACGTAATGCTCAGCCACCGGTTGAACAGTGGTAGAGAAAAATGGCTTAATCCCCAGTTACTGGGTGAACGACGGGTAAACACTTGTAACTATTTTTGTATCTACCGAGAAACATTACATACCAATTATTTGCAAATTTTGAACCAGGAGCTCAGATAGAAGGGTTAAAATTGTTCAGGAACACAGGGCTCAAATGGTTAAAATTCATTTACTGAAATAGTATCTACTGTAATATAGAATGCTCTGTTTAGTTTTTGAAATCTCATTTTAATGAGTTATTATATACACCTTTGGGATTTTTTTTAAAAGACATATCTCAAGCAATATGTTAACAATCCTCGGATGTATCTATTTACGGATATAGGGATATGTATAAAGATATGAGTCCGTCGAGATTGATGCAGTCAGTTAAAAAAAAAAAAATGAGACGTTCATATAAATTAAGTGATCCACATCGTCTCGCACCGGGCCAAGCAATTCTTCAGCACTTGCAATGATCAGTATCATGTTCAACTCCTTTAGTTGCAAAAAGAAAAAAAAAACGAAAACAAAATTCAACCGAGACAGTGACACCTTATTTTGCACTGAAACACTTGGCCTATTTAGTGCGCTTTTATCAGTTACGAATCTCTTTCTCTCTCTCTTTCTCTCATGAGACTGGTGGCAACATAATGAGAAAAAGAAAAACAATAAAGAGAGAACAGGACACGATTTAAGTGAGTGTTAAAGTTTTAGAAATATCTTCGTGAATCCGATTCTAATTTTTTGAGCTCTGAGATGAAATAATAATCATTTTACTTATTCTTTCTTGAATCAAGTATCAGACTTCAACCTGTACGTATTTGGGGTTTCCTCATATTTATTTACGAAACTTATCTTCATTTAGAAAATAAGTAAAACAATAAATAAATAAAAGAGAGATTAGGACACTGTTCAGACTAGTGTTAGAGTTCCACAAAAGGTTTCATATTTTCGACTTTATTTTTTGAAATTCTGATATAAAATATCCCCTTCCTACCACCTTTATTTCATTTGTTGTTTCAATCCTGAATCTTCAACTGGGTCGTTTTTTGACTTTCCTCAAGTTTATTTAGCTTCGTTTAGAAAAAAGATATAAATTAAAAAAAAAAAATGAGAACACATAATTTAGATTAGTGATTATAAACATGGGCCCTTTGGCCCACAAGTGTGCCTGAGAATTCTTTAAAAATGGGCCTGTGGTTGTCCCAAGGAAAATAGGTGGGCTTTGAAAAAAATTTTTTTCACTGGCGAAAATTATGAAAACATACACTGCTTTACTTTATTTTTAAAGGCAAATAATTTAGAAATTATTTAAATAAGATTTTCGAGAATTTCTTATAATAAATTATATTTTTGAATTGCTTTGAAACATTTTCTATTTGTGTTTATGTAGCTATTTACAAAGCGTAGTTTAGATGTGGCACAAGGCTGAAAGTATGGAGCACCTATTGAGGACAGAACTCATTACTCAGTCGTAATTGATATGGCGAGGAAAGCTTGCTAATCCTTCAGTCACGTCGAAGTACCACTGTTTGTACTTATGTGGTCCTAAAAAATTTTGATACCAAAAAAATGGGCCCACAAAAAAGAAAAAGTTGAGAAACTAATTTAAATGAGTGTCAGAAATCCACTGAAGACTTAATGCAGGCGATTTTATTTGGGTGGGGAGTTTGATATAATGTTGGGGTACCTCCAAATATTTTCTAAAAATGAACATGCCATGATGAAAAAAAGCCCAAAACTTGATAAAAGAAAGTTTTATCATCAAAATGTTTATGCTATTATTAAGAAGACCAAACTATTTTTTTTTATTATTTTATTAATTTTTTAATCCACGTTCGAAGTTTTGGCTAAAAATTTTGTTTTTTTGGGTAGATATGAATTTCCAAAATCCTAGTAGTACCGATGGTAGTGTGATTACAGCCGTAGTAGCACAAGTCAGTTCATAGATTTCCGAAATATAGGAAGAGCCGAATAACCGGGTTTTACCACCGGCTAACATAATTTCCGGAAACAAAATGTCCTACCGTCTCCTCTTCTTAG